AAAAAAAAAAAAAAAAAAAAACAAAAAACTGCATGCTCTGCACATGTATCCCAGAACTTGAAGTTATAAAAATGCAAATCAAGCCTAAGCAGCATAGCAGGATCCTGTCTATACAAAAAATAAAATAAAAAATTTTTTAAAATTTTACTTTAAGTTCTGGAGTACATGTGCAGATCGTGCAGGATTGTTACATAGTGATACACATCCCATGGTGGTTTGCTGTATCCATTCCCCTGTCATCTACATTAGGTATTTCTCCTAGTGTTATCCCATCCCAATCCCCTCAGCCCCTGCTATCCCTCCCCTAGAAAAAAATTAGGGTTCTATCAGAAAACAGAGCCACCACAAAATATACAAAATGAAGGTTTCTGTAGAGTCATCCAATCTCTCCCAGTTTCTTGCTGTGTCACGATAGAAAATCATGGAGTGGGTTGACCATTCTGTGACCCAGCCAGCAGAGTTTTCTCCAGCAGGCCTGAATGAAAATTGGGACCTTGAACACTCCCAGGTGCTGATAAAGGTATCCAGGTTGTGACCCAAAACACTGAAAAACACTGGCCCTGGCCCTTGAGCCAAATTCCTCCAAACCCTCATATGTGGAGGGAAAGGTGAAGTGAAGTGGAGAAAGCAAGTATACACTGGAAGCCTGAAGGGAGAAGAGCCCATGAGATGGACTAAAACCTGCATTGGTCTCATATCATCTCCAAGCTTCTAACTTTGATACTGGCATGACGTGCATGAGAAGGTCATGTGCTTCCTCAAAGAGCTAAACACGCACCTTTTCTAGGATTTGCAGAAGCTAAAAGGTCCAGCAGGAGCTGGAGGATCTGCAAACTTGGTCACTGTCCTGTGCCAACAAGGTAATCCCACAAAATAGTGACAATATCAATAAGCTGCAGATGAGCCTGTCTGACTTTTCCATTGTAAAAAGAATATGGCTGCCATATAAGTTACGTTTTGCTGCATGAAAAATTACCTCCAACTTAGCAGCTGTGAAAGAAATATTTTATATTATATTATTTGTAGGTTAGGAATTTTGGAGTGGCTTAGCTCAGTGGTTAGCTTGGGTCTCTGATGAGATTGGAGTCACATATCTGCTGGGGCTGCAGTCGTCTGAGAGCTTGACTATACTGTAGGATCCACTTCCAAGATGATGCGCTCACATGACTATTAGTAGGATGACCAAAAGTACCAGCTTGCCTGTGACTCAGGATTGGCTTCCTGGGAGTTTGATCTATGCAGGTGTACAGGGCCCCACACCCTGAGGGGCCCTAATGTTTTGTTTGCTTTGATGTCACTGTATTGAAATTCTCTTTTTTTTTTTAATTTTTTTTAAATTTTATCTTTGAACTTGTGTTTTGTAAGGGAAGTTTGATGGGACCACCTATTTCATCATGCTCATTTTCCCCTCCCGACTGACTTTGTTAACATTCTTCTCCCTTTGAGTCTCACTGAACTCCAGTGCGTTGTGGGTCCACTAGAATGTTATGCTCATGGGCATTGCATACATTCTTTGCTATTCTATTTGCATACAATGCATTTTTGCATTGCAGTAAAATTGTAGTAAAGAACACAACATGGTATCTACTCTCTTAACAAATTTTTAAGTGCCCAGTGTGGTATCTTTAGCTATAGGCACAATGTTGTACATTGGATCTGTAGAACTTAATTCATCTTGTATAACTGAAACTGGTTTTTTTTTGGGATGGAGTCTCACTCTGTTGCCCAGGCTGATGGAGTGCAGTGGCATGATCTCGGCTTACTGCAACGTCCATCTGCCTCCTGGGTTCAAGTGATTCTTGTGCCTCAGCCTCCCAAGTAGCTAGGACTACAGGCATGTGCCACCATGCCCAGCTATTTTTTGTATTTTTAGCAGAGACAAGATTTCACTATATTGGCTAGGCTAATCTCAAACTCCTTACCTCAGACGATCTGCCTGCCTTAGCCTCCCAAAGTGCTGGGATTACAGGTGTGAGCCACCGTGCCCAGAAGCATAACTGAAAGTTTGTACCTATGGAACAGAAATTCCCATTTCTCTCTCAGTCTCTCTCTCTGTATATCAGCTGTTCTCCTAGATTGAGGCTCCATTTCTGATTTATTGTATTCAGCCCCTCATGAATCATATATTGTTTTTTACTCAGAGTTCAACTTAATCTGGTTTTCTAACTCACTAATTTGGTGTTCTAGAGTGTCCATCTTGCTATTCAGTGCCCCTATTTGTTTTAAAAATATCAGTGCTCACATTTTTATTTCCAGCGTAAAAACACAATTCTCAAAAGCATTCGTTTGTATGTGTAAATGTTTTATTTAGCTCATTACTGAAGAAACCATCAGGAAGATAAAAGATAAAAAGAGAATTTGAGAAATAGAGATGTATATAGTCAATGGGAAAAGAATGCCAAAACAAGATTATCAAATTAATCATAAGAGTGGTTAATCTTTCACAGGAAATAAAACAATATCACCTGTGGGGTTAACTCCTCTACCAGGCTATAAAACAAAACAACTTATTCATTTCTGTAAATTAACCTCTAACCTTTAAGAACTTTACAGAGCTATAAACCATTTGCACCTTCATCATTTGTGGATGGTGACTATACTGTGAGAGCTATGTTATAGTCCCCAAAGAGGTCAGACCAGGGTCAAGTAGGATTATTAGAAAATACTCCAGCATAGAAAAAAGCAGCCATTCTTTTGCCTTTTCTCAGATTGGCATCCATTTTTCTTTCATACTAGAATCTCCTGTTTCCAAATTGCCCTGAGCTGCAATCTTCAGATGCTTCCTCCAGCTGCTCTATAACTTACCCTTGCCTCCAGCCCCCTTTACTATCAGGAGATGCTATGTGGTCATAGTGAAGGGGTCAGGCAGATGGAAGGAGCAATCTTATGGGGGTGTAGAGCAAGATGGGGGATCCTATTGTGTGGTGATATGGCAGACTGGACTGTTTTTTCTGTTTTCAGCAGTTCAATTTTCTTCTGACCTCCTTGATATTTCAACTATGTAAGTGGCACGCTAATTTTCAATCATGGTATAAAATTTACCCTGTTACATTTTTGTTGTTTTCATCAGGAAATTAGGAGAGGGAGAGAGTAAGCTGAGTGCATTATTAGAATTATAAAGTTTGTATCTCCTATCTCAGACAACCATGTATTTTCCTCAATTTACACATAAATATTAAATATATGTTTTTTAGAAGCCTATTATCATTATCATTTTTTTGTTGGCCATCACAAATTTGAAGAAGACATTGTTATTTCATTCCAAAGCTTTCAACAATTCCATCTTCCTGACCTATTTTTTATTGGTCAGAATTAAGACCAAATGGCTTTACATCTTTCTGAGATTAAATCTATGGACACTCATCAGAAAAAATGCATATTTGCATTTACACAGAATGTCTTATATAATTTCAGGGGACTTAGGGATTCTTGAACCCCATCAATGATTCTCAGTTTAAGAATGCTAGTTTTGGAGATAGTAATGTGGCCTTCACAATGCCTCAAGCTGACTAACATAATTCTATCTATGTGTAAGGAAGCAAAAACAGACTTTAATGCAGTAGTTGTATTAACTCCATTTTCCAGATTGTCCAAATGATTTGCCTTTTGACTTCAAGACTGTATTGATCTTATCCTGAAACATGTTTTGTTCCATGCTTGACTAGTAAAATAAACAACTGAGAGTTTTATTTTAAATGTATGAAGCTTAATCTGAAATGCTTACATAATGAATATCTTCTTCCAACTTTCATCATATAGTTTTTCTACAACAGAGCCAGTGGTGACTATGAGAAACCAAAGTTGTCAGAGAAGAATGCTTTCCATGCAGGTTTCTCCACTTCTTTTTGCCTAGTTACATTGGAAGGAAGGACCAAGCTGGGAGCAGCTGCAGAAAATAGGTAAGAGTTAAGTTAAATTGGATGCACCCTCCCCACCCCCTATCAAGGAAATGTAGGATTAATTCGAGAGGCTTCAAGGCAGTGTCTGCATGGACAATATGAGGGCAGGAAGTAACCTAAAGATCAGCAGAAAGGTAGAAGGCAAGCCAGGGAGGCCACTCTCAGTAGAGCTCCTGTGCCTCGCAGCCCAGAACCTCCATCCTCAGGGCAATCTGGTGCACCCAACTCTGGGGGTGAATTCGAAGGTATCGTGTCAGTAACGGTGGGTCTAGCGAGTTCACCACAGGTGTGAAGGAGTCTTGATTTCCCTGAAAAATCTGAAAGAGGAAAGATAGCATTTATTGGCTGTCTGACAGGACGCTTTTCTCACTTCTAGTTGTTTCCAGGAGTCCAGGATTAAACCCTGGGAGAGGACTAGATGATTCTGTCCCACGGATCAGGGACATCTAGAATTAAGAGCACCCTACTTTGGAGGCCTTCACTCTAACTAGGCCTTATATCTAGAATGTTCTCACCCACTTCCCCAACCTCAGTGACATTAAGTGCTTTGTCCTGAGTCACACGGAGCACCTGTGTTGGACTACCTGGAGGTAAGAGTCAGGCTTTGGCCAACAGACTCTCTGGTCAATGCATTTGCGGTGGCAAGAAGAGTACATAGAGCTCAGAAAATGGTAGCTATCATTATTAGTTAGATAAGCTGGTTTCACACATGTTGGTGACAACTTTAGAATAATAATGAATGCAACACAGTAACGCATATAATTTAGTGCGGCTGGGCAACCTTGGCAGGACAGGGTGCAGAAGGAAGAAAGAAGTGGGAAGACAGTCTAAGACTCAAGGCATCTGGCTACTCCAGGACTTTGGAGCAAAGGCCACCTATAACTGGGTGGATGTTTGGAAAAATGAAGATCTGAATGTTCAAAACGTGTCATTCAAGGCAACTAGAATATATAGTATAATGTATATAGCATGGCAAATATACCATACACATCTATAGAAATAAAGTTCTGTGTCTGATAAAAGTTTTGAGAAGCATTAAGGTACCTGTTCTGAGATTATTTTACAAATGTTTATGGTGTATTTGGAGGCTTTGTACATTTTTTGTTAGACTTAATCCTTACTGCATTAAATCAGGGGACATGCAATGCCAGATTGTCCCATTATTGATGATACTGTTTGATCACTTGGTTAAGATGTCTACCTAATCTCTGTATTTATAAAGGTAACTTTCCTAACAATCTGTGGGGTGAGACTTTCAGACCATTCAAATATTCTGTTTCGCAACAAGCTTTTATCCAATGATATTAGCATCAAAGTTCCTTACAAGTATTCAATAGTATACTGATGGTTGAAAAGGGATTTTCCAATTTTGTCATTTCTTCTACATTTATCAGCTGGAATTCTTCTGTGAAGAAAAGCTTCCCCTCTCCTTTTACTTTTTAAAAAACTATTATGAACTTCTGTATTCTTTATTATACGTATTATGATCCATTACCCTCATTATTTCTTCAGATGCTCAAATGGTCTCAAATCTGGCCAACAGGAAGCCCTTCAGGCCAGTTTCTGTGTTCTTTTCACATGACCCCATTGGCAGTTTCCTTGCTCCAGCTTTGGGAAAAGTCATTTCTCTAAGGAGCTCAGATTCTTTTTACTGGGAAATGGTAGTTAGAGACCAAGATTTGGCCATGACATGGGCTCACTATTACTGCACTGTGAACAGTGCTAAGAATATACTTTTAAAAAAATTCCTAAGTTCTCACTGACACTTCTAATTCAACTCTAACATTCTTTGTGTTAGTATTAGATTCTTAAGGCTACTGTAACAAATTCACCACACACTTAGTGCATTTAAAACAAAAGAAACTTATTCTCTCATAGTTCTAGAGGCTCAAAGTCTGGAGCCTGGAGCAGAGGCACAAGAGAGTGAGTCAAACAGAAAATCACATTTAAAGCTTCTGTTTGGAAGTGGTATATGTCATGTGCAATCACATTCTATTGATTAAAATGGGTCACGTGGCCATGCCTAAAGTTGATGAGGTTTTCAAGGAAAGAGGGAATAAAAATTCAAGAACATTAATATCATCTGCCTCATATGCTATTTTCTGTTCACTTAGAAATTCTTTACAGTTTCTTGTTTCAGCCAATAAGAGGTGATTTATGTAGGCAGACAGGAGGGCTGGATGGCTTACTAGGTACTCTTAGCCAGGAGTACCCTCTACTGTTGATAAATGGAAGTGCAATTTACTTAATAGATGGGACCGAAGAGGTTTGTGGGTCTTGTATTTTCGTGATTCACTTTTGTTTTTATAGGACAATTAATTTCCAACATTTGCTTTCTTATTTCTTTTTTTTTTTTTTTTGTAGGATGACTGGATTTGAAAAGATTGTGACACGCATTCTAAGAACTTCCCTTCACCACAGAATCCCATCCACTACACACTTTCTTATTTCTTTTTTTTTTTTTTTTGAGACAGGGTTTCTCTCTGGAGCAAGGCTGGCTAGATTTGTATGTTTATTTTCTACTCATAAACATAAACTTATAGTACTTTTTGTCTTCTGGTTATTCTGTAGATGGGATATGGGTGGTTTTAGTCATAATTTTAAATTGTGTGCGTGTGTGTGTGTGTGTCTGTGTGTGTATGTATGGATTTTGAAGACGGTGTGGAGAGATTTAGGCAGCTGCCATTATCTGACAGGAATGTGCAACTCAGTGCTTGGAATTTTAAAATGTTATTTAAAACTGTTTTCCAACTGCTTCTGGTATATAGAAATACAATGAATTTTGGTATATTTTGTTTTCAGCAAGCTTGCAAAAATTTTTAACTTCTAATAATTTATATATAAATTCCTTTAGATTTTCTATCTATGCCATCATATCTTCCACATACAATGAATTCGTTTCATCATTTTCAATCCTTACATATTTTCTTTTTCTTATCTTATTGCACTGCTTAGGACATCCAATATGCATAATCCTTCAGTCTGTCACTGTGATAAATTATATCAGTTTTCTAATGTATAAGCCAACCTTGCATTCCTAGCATAAATCCAACTTGGATCCATATTGTTAATATTTTGTTTGTGATTTATGTTTATGAATAGAACAGGCCTATTGTCTTCCTTTCTAATCTTGTTCTTGTTTGGTTTGGTTGTCAAGGTTATGCTATAATCATAAGAGAATTGAATAACATACCATCTTTTTCCATTTTCTGGAAGAATTTTTGTAAAGTTAAATATTATTTCTCCCTTGAAAAATTGGTAGAATATGGTTACTGTAGCCATCTGGATCTGGATTTTTTTTTTTGTGGGAAGATTTTTGAATATAAATTCAATTTCTCAAAGGTTTTAGGAGTTTCAAGGTTTCTATTCCTTCTTGTTATATTTACCAGGGATCAATCAATTTTACCTAATTTTCCAAACTTATTGTCATAAGATTAATAAGCATTGTCATTTTTTTATATTGGCAGAAATTTTTCTGGGATCTTTATTGATGTCCAATTTTTTAAAGTTTCTGATATTATTTGTGCCTTTTTTTCATTTTGATTGCTCTTGACAGAAGTTTTTCAATTTTCAAGGAAACAACTTTTGGTTTTATTCCCTGTATTGTATGTTTCTTTTTTACTTCAGATTTTTCTTATTTCCTTGCTTCTTTTAGTTTATTTTGCTGTTCCACTAGCTTCTTGAGACATACCTTAGCTCATTAATTTTTAGCCTTTCTACTTTTCCAACATTTGTTTTTAAGGCTATACATTTCCTTCTAAGTATTGCTTTAGCTGATTCCCACATTTTATTTAATATGTCATGCCTTGTTATCATTCAGTTTAAAATATTTTCTAATTTATGATTTCTTTTTTGAAATATGAGTTTGAAAGTATATTTCTTGATTTCTAACATAGGAAAATGTTAGTTATCTCTTTCTTATTTATATCTACTTTAATTGTATTGTGACCAGAAAACATGTTTTATATAATCTGAAATTTGAGATTACTTTATTTGTAGCTTAAAATGGAAAAATCTAACATGTTTCCTTTGTGTGCTTATAAAGAATGTGTAATTCTGCAATTTCAAGGTGCTATTTTCTAAATATGTCTATAAGATCAAACTTGTGAATTGTGTTAATTGTTCTATTTCTATACATTGTCTGTTTGATATCTTTTAGATATTTGCATACTTTCTTTTCCCATTTTTGACTTGCTACTTTTCTGTATCTAAAGTTTGAGATATGTCTCTTACAAAACGCACACAATTTGCTTTTGCTTTTTTTTTTTTTTTTAAGAGACAAGTCTCACTATCTTGCCCAGGCTGCTCTCAACCTCCTGGGCTCAAGTGATCCTCCCACCTCAGCTACTTAGGATGCTACTACGCTCAGCTACTTTTGGTTTTTTAAATCTGACAATCTTTGTCTTTTAACTGAAATATTTGGTCCATTCATATTACATATGATTAGTATTGTATTTTAATGTAAATATAACATTTTATCTTGCTATTTTCCTACCTTTTTCATGTTTCTTTATCTCTCTTTGCTTGCTTTCATTTAGGCTTGTTGAGTATATTTTGTCCTTTCATATTTTTTCTTCTACCATTTTGGAAGTCCTGCATTGTGTATATTTCTATTACTTATTGATTATCCTAAAAACTATATCATTAATCAAATTATCGAGGTTTAATATTAATCAACATCTCCCGAGTAGTTAGATAATACTTGGATTTTAGAATCTTTTATTCTGTTTATCCCCATCCTGACTTTTTTTGCTGCTGTTGTCATATGTTCTAAATTTACGCATGCACACACACACACACGCACACACGCCCCTGGCTTAAACAATAAAAATTTATTTTCTCACAGTTCTAGAGGCTAGAAGTCCAAGATCAATGGGTAGGCAGACTTGGAATTTTTTTGTCTGTTTGTCTCCCCTGTAGCCCAGGCTGGAGTGTGATGGTGCGATCTTGGCTCACCGCAACTTCTGCCTCTGGGGTTCAAGTGATTCTCATGCTTCAGCCTCCGGAGTAGCTGGTATTACAGGTGCATGCCAGCATGTTCAGCTAATTTTTGTATTTTTAGTGGAGGGGTTTCACCATGTTGGCCAGGCTGGTCTTGAACTCCTGACCTCAGGCAATCTGCCTACTTCAGCCTCCCAGGTATGAGTTATTGTGCCTGGCCGGCAGACTTGGTTTTTTTTCCTTTTCCTTTTCTTCCTCTTCTTCTCTTTCTTTCTTTCTTTCTTTTTTTTTTTTTCCAGAGGCAGGGTCTTGTCCTGTTGCCCAGGCTGGAGTGCAATGGCACAGCCCTAGCTCACTGCATGCTTGTAGCTAGAAC